GATCAGCTGGGACTCAGGAGACAGAGAATAGATGGGGGCGGGGCCAGCCAGAGGTGGCATTTGCTGGTTCTCTGAACTACTCCAAATTTCTGCTACCGGTTCTCCAGAACCTGTCAGAAGAATTTCACTCCTGGGCTGCACCAGCTGTCATCCCAAGAGGCGGTACTGACCCCTGCCTTTCCAAAATTTCCTCGCTCCTTTCGCCAGCAACAAATCAGCGCCAGGCAGGGTGGGAGGAAACTTTGGTTTCAGCTCCGAAACGGAGCCCTGAACCAGGGAGAGAGAAGCAGGACCTTTGATGGCTGCCCGTATCTTTCGCCAGGCGTCGTCTGTCTTGTGGTGACTGTCATGTACTGGTCGGGCTGGGAGATTGGGGCGGTGGAAGCCGTTTCGCTCTCCATCCTGGTGGGCTCCTCGGTGGACTACTGCGTGCATCTGGTGGAGGGCTTCCTTCTGGCTGGGGAGAGCCTCCCCCCACACCTGGCAGAGGTGAGGCTTTGTCTTGGGGTAACTCCTTCTTCCTCCTCTTCCCCACTTCCACATCCAGGAGATAATAGCACTAGCCCTTACACTTATATATTGCTTCACGGTGATTTTACAGCCCTCTCTAAGCATTTTACAGAGTCGGCATGTTTCCCACAACAATCTGGGTCCTTATTTGACCCAACTCGAAAGAATGGAAGACTGAATCAACCTTGAGCCAATTGATCAGGATCGAACTGCTGGCAACGGGCAGAATCAGCCTGCAATACTGCATTCTAACCACTGGGAGGGAGGGAGGGAATTAGCAATAGCATTTAGACTTATATACCACTTCACAGTGCTTCGCAGTTCTCTGTAAGTGGTTTAGAGCCAGCCTATTTCCCCCAACAATCTGGGTCCCCATTTTACAGACCTTAGAAGGACGAAAAGCTGAGTCTGGTGAGATTCGATCTGTCAAATTGCAGGCAGACGGCAGTCAGCAAAAGTAACCTGCAGTACTGTGCTCCAACCACTGCGCCACTGTGATAATCATGTAGGGCAAAAACTCTGGAATAGAGAGAGAGAGGTATTAAGTGCGCCCCATTCCCTATGAACTATTCCTCAAAGCCCAACCTGAACCTGAACAATATTTCGGAGCCATCTTGGTGTATGTCACCATCTGAAATGTTTGCTGAGCTAAAGATGGGTCCAAAATTTGATCGGCAATTTGGTCCAGCGACTGGAATTGAGAATCCAAGCTAGTTACTGGTTTTTAGGTGGGACCAGGAAGGACGCGGTGGCTCAGTGGCTAAGACGCTGAGCTTGTTGATCAGAAAGGTCGGCAGTTCGGCGGTTTGAATCCCTAGTGCCGCGTAATGGAGTGAGCTCCCGTGACTTGTCCCAGCTTCTGCCAACCCTAGCAGTTNCCCCCCCCCCTTGTAGCACACAAGCCAAAAAAGCTTCACCATCACTGGACTAATATATATTTTATACAAGCATCTTTTTAAGGACTTCAGAAGGACCAACTGCCTGCTTGGTTGGTTAACACCAACCCAACTTCTTCACTGCTACTAAGAGGGTTAATAGAAAATGCTATTTTTCGGGTCATCAGTATCACAACCTTTTGGGTTGAGCCTGGTTAACTCCTGATCTGAGGCCGAGACACTGCTGAAAATAGATGCTAGTTCCAAGTCTCCATGGAGCCTCGACATAAATTGAAACGCAGCAGTCTTTAAGCAGAAGATCACGGGCTGTTTTGTCCCCCGTCGTAAAAATGTGATTTTTGCTCTCAGAGTGCAAATTCATCTTCATTTCTGATTCTGCTTCGGTGGAGGCCTGGGATGAACGAAAACAGGCACGGCGGGGGGAGAAACACACAAACAAAACAGAAATATAGGATAAGTCTGGAGACGGAAGGAGGGCCAGCTGTCCTTACTTGTCTTTCTTTTCAATCGGGCAGAATCCAAAAGGAAAAAAAAAAAAAAAACCTCAGCAAGCAGACAAACCAAAACTGATTTGGGGGCAGAAGAAGCTCCAGGTGTAAAGTTTAAAGGCCAGTTTTGTGACGTCACCAAAGGTCCACAAGAACCTTGAATGCCCGAAGTAGGAAAACGCTATTAGAAGGACCACCAACTAGACTTTGAGGTAGGCTAGTTGGGAAGAACAATGCCACTCTGGTCCTTCAAGCTCTATGGTTGGTTGACAATGGAGCCCCCATTCAAGCCACCGGATGCTGGGCAGATTAGCCATGCTCTAGCACAGGGGGCTCTAACCTTGGCAACTTTATGACTTGTGGACTTCAACTCCCAGAATTCCTCAGCCAGCATGCACTGGCTGAGGAATTATTGGAGTTGAAGTCCACAAGCTAAGGTTGGAGACCCTTGCTCCAGCAGATGGTAATAGCAGTAATAGCAATAGCAGTAGACTTATATATCGCTTCATAGGGCTTTCAGCCCTCTCTAAGCGGTTTACAGAGAGTCAGCATATTGCCCCCAACAATCTNATTCTATATTCCTATTCTATTCTATTCCATTCCATTCTATTCTATTCTATATTCTCCTCTATATTCTCCTCTCCTATTCCATCCCATTCTATTCGTGATTCCATTCCATTTTATTCTATTCATCAGTCCAATCCAGTCCATTCTATATTCTATTCTATTCCATGTTCTATTCATCATTCCATTCTATTCTATTCTATATTCTCCTCTCCTATTCCATTCCATTCTATTTGTCATTCCATTCCATTCCATTCTATATTCTATTCTATATTCTATTCTATTCTATTTGTCATTCCATTCAATTCTATTCTGTATTCTGTATTCTACTCCACTCCACTCCCTATATTCTATTCATCCCAGACATTGGATGTGGGACCAGATTGTCTATGGAGATTCTCAGTCATCCAGGTCATGGTTGCCCCAAAGGTGCTTTTTCAGGAGGCCACTTGTGTTTTTTTTCTTTGAAGACGTTTCTCTTCTCATCCAAGAAGCTTTTTCCGCTCTACAGCAACCATTTGCAGACTGAAGACAACAAGCTTCTTCAGCTCTTGCAGACCACAGGAACCATTCGCCCTTCCGTCCGAGAGGCAGACAACACAACGGCACTGAAGAAAATGATTTATGACTGTTTCCCCCACTTAACGACCTTGGAAGCATCCCCCTGGCCACGTGATCAAAATTCAGACCAACTCATGACGTTTGTAATATCCGTGTGTGTGTGTGTGTCACGTGATCCCCTTAACAACCATGTCACTCCCTTAGCGTCTGTAGGGATTCACCTAACAACGGTGGCCAGAAAAATGTCCTAAAATGGGGCAAAATTCATTTGTTAGCAATAGAAGCTTTGGGTTTAAAGATGATCTACCTGCATTTTGTCTCATCTTTTGGCCTCCCTCCCACCTTAGCCCAGAGTTTTAATTTTGCTTTTTTCAGCCCACAGCTATGTATTCAGGAAGGGCTAATCACCGGAGCCTTGCAGGGCAGCTCCGGTGTGTGGTTTTGTGTTACCTGGGGAAGAACATATGGGAAGGCCCACCCTTTGACTGGGAGTCTTAAAACAGGCTGACAAATTTGTCTCGTGAGTAATGGAGGCCTTCAGTGCTTGTACAAATTTGTGCTGAGCCAAGGCAAATTTATTCCGCATTACGGATGTCAGAAAGGTTTGCCAGGGGCTGGGCGTGATTTACGGCTCAGCCGGCAATTGTTCCCTTTTCTGCATTCTTTGCAAGATGCTTGTAAGTGGGGAAACTTAAAAGTCTGCAGCGAGAAGGCCTTGCGTGGAATTAAAATTACTAAGAGCGTATTACGGTTCTTCTTCTCGTCTTTGCTATTAGCTATCTCCTCCTACTTAGGACTATAACCTTGTGGCTTGTATCTTTACAATTTATATTGTTTTGTTTCATATGATTTTGATTGCTTATTTAGTAGCCTATGACTGTCACTAAGTGTTGTCTCTTACGATTCTTGATGAATGTATTTTTATGTACACTGAGAGCTTACGCACCAAAGACAAATTCCTTGTGTGTCCAATCACTCTTGGCCAATAAAGGAATTATAGCAATAGCAATAGCAATAGTTAGNGTCTATCACGAAATATTGGCTCCGCATTAGAGAAGCCACAAGCAATATTTAGACCAGTGTTTCTCAACCTTGGTGACTTTAAGTCCTGTGGACTTGAATTCCCAGAATCCTCCAGCCAGTACAGCTGGCTGGCGGATTCTGGGAATTGAAGTCCACAGGACTTAAAGTCACCAAGGTTGAGAAACACTGATTTAGACGTTTCCTGCCCCTGTCTAATTCTGGAAAGTCATAGTTTTAACCTAGCAGGTATTTCTCTCTCTGGGCACAATGAGAATATATCTGCTGGAGGGGGAAAAAAACAACCTCCTCATTGGCAACAAGAAGGGCATCCGGCCAATAAACACTCAGCTCCATTCAGTTGCCCAGACTCCACCCCTCAAGGAATTATGAGGTCAGTAAAAGAAGATGATAGTTTTAACCTGGAACCAGGCTGAACGTTGGGCTCCTTACTGAACTTTCTTCCTTTACTAGCTTTAATATGAGGTTAATGTTACATACAAGAAAAGAACAAACCCTCTTCAACCCCTTTCAAAATAGTCAAAAGAATCCAAGCCGCATTTTTAAATCGGGCTAATAAAATAACAAGCCACCGCGAGATATTTTTCTGTCATCGTTTTGAGCGTCAGGAAGTCCAGGCAAACAGTTTGTTTCTTGCCATCTCAGATCCCAGAAAGAAAGAATATTTTTCTGCCTACATTTGTGGAGTCCTAACCACATCCAGGAATGCCTTTCCTTTCTCAAAAATGTCATCTGGATACTTACTCTTCAGAAGTGTCTCTCTCTCTATAAAAGTGAAATACCACTCATGCATTGTCATGAAATCTCCAGAACCGTAAAGCCTACAAACTTGAAATTTGGTCTGTATGTTCCACTTGGCTTCTAGGTGCTCACTAAGAAAGGATTTTTCAAAATGACCATCAGATTATTAATATTTCTTATATTATTATCAACACGTTCTGAAGCAAAAGAGTTAGACTACTCCCCCACCCCACCTGAAAAGAACTCTGTTCCAACTGCCACTTGGGCATGGCCAGCATGTGACTCATCCAGCCTGCGGGCTGGGAGTTTAGGTATTCTACTCCTTTTGCCCTCCCCAGGCTCCAGAGGCTTATAGGAGCCTGGGGAGGGCGATAAGAGCCTCCCTCCCCCCGGAGGCTTCAGGAGCTTCTCTGAAGCCTCCGGGGTGCAAAAAACTGGCCTATGAGCAAACTGGAAGTTCAGGAATGGACTTCCGGTTTGCTCGTAGGGTTGGTTTAAGCCTTCCAGAGGGTTCAGGGATCTTCAGGAGGCTTCCCTGAAGCCTCCGGAGGACTAAAAAGGACCCAACGAGCAAACCCTCGTAGGGTGGGTAGGGTCCTTTTTAGTCCTCCAGAGGCTTCAGGGAAGCCTCCTGAAGGTCCCTGAAGCCTCTGGAGGGCCTCCGGGGGCNCACTCCAGGGGAAGGATACTGCAAAATCTCCATTTCCACTCCAGGGGAAGGACACTGCAAAATCTCCATTCCCACCCCACTCCAGAGGAAGGATATGATGCCATAGAGCCGGGCGCTGGGGGTGGGGGTGGTGGAACCGCTACCGGTTCGGGCGCCCCAGTAGAATACCAACTCTGGTTTCAGGATTTCGGCGACTTCCAGAAATTCTGCCTCTGGTTTTCAAAGTATCCCTGTCAGAGGACCAGGAGAAAATGGCTTCCCCAACCCTTATCCCCTTCCTTGTCTTCGGTTTCCACTTGCACTTTAACTCCTACCTCCCCTCTGCTTGTTTCCAGGTAGGGTTTTCTTGGGGGGTGGGGTGGGGTGGGGAGAAAGAACGAGGATCCGGACAGGCACAAAATTGCTCCCCTTTGGTGCAAGGAAAATAATCAGAGGCTGCCTTCTTCCTTTGCATTCTTCAAGGTTCCCTCCCCGGCTCTGAAAATCTTTCCCAGCTTTGCCTTTTATTAAGGTATAAATATATTTAGCTTGATTGCCTTTGCTCTCTCCCCAGCTCTTGGCATTTTCTCAGTTTCCTATTTTGGATTTCCAAACCATGTTTTTTTTGGGGGGGGGGGATGAGAAACAGCCAGAGTTAAGCCATGGGGCTGGCTGGCTGTTTGGGAATTCTGGGAGTTGAAGTTCCCAAGGCTGAGAAGCACTCTGGGCCTTTCTCTGGCTGACCCATCTCTTGTTCTTGAGAAGGGTGTTTGA